CCGGCCCGGAGCGCACCATGGGGCCGTTGTGGTTCTGCTGTTTGCCCCTCGCCCTCTTGCCTCTTCTCGCCGCCGTGGAAGGTAAGGAAGGGGCCTTTCCGGGGCAGAACCCCTCTTTATTATGATGATCGTTATTATTTTACTAATTTTTTTTTTCCTCCCTCTTTCTTCTCTATCTCTCGTTTATTATTATTTATTTAATTCATCGAGGGGTGGCCCTCGGCCCTCCCCCTCCCTCCACGCCGCACCCCTTCCTGGGGGTGTGGGGTGTGGGGGGGGGGAGGGGGGAAAGAAGGAGGGAAGGCGAAGTTTTGGGGAAGTGCTGCCCCAGGTGGAGCTTTTCCCCCCAATCCCGGCCCTTCCCTTCCCTCCGCCATCCCCGTACCGAGGTGGGCATCTCCCACCTCGCCTCCCGTAGGGAACCACCGAGCCCCTCTCCAGGGGATGCTGGGGAGAGGCTTTGGGGTCTCCTTGAGCGAGGCCAAATGCCTCCTCCAACCTCTTCCCCGTAGGGTTCCCCCAGGGCTGAGACAAAGCAGAGGCAGCGGCAGGTGGGTGCGTGGCTGAGGGATGGGTGTGCGGCCGAGGGCTGGATTCCCATTAAGGGCTGGCTGCGTGGCTGGGAGCCCCGTGCCAGATTCCCATTTTGGGCTCCCAGCGCATCGCTTCCCGGCCACGCCTGCAGTGCTGTGGAAGTTGGGGGGCTCCACGGGGCTGAGCTTTGCTGCTGCGTTGGGTGTGGAGGTGGTGGGAGACGTCCGGACCGTGTTTGTCTGGAGCAGTGGATGAGGCACCATTTATTAAGTTGGAGTTTTGGGAGATGACTCATGGGTTGGCCGGCTATACATCGTGATATTTACAATATGGGAGCTTGGCATAAATAGGACTATTTACGTTGCAGCGGAGAGCGCTAGCCAGCTATGCTATTCAAATGAGCATGGTATGGTTTTAATTAGGGGTTGGGGGGATGGGGGGTGATGAGTGTGTTCGTGGGAGCACATGTCCAAGTGGGACGTGTGGCCTAAGCTGCCCGCAGCAGCCACGTTCACAGCTGTGTTCATGCTCAGAGCCCTCAGCCACACTGGGGATGGGGCGACCCATCCTGGGATGGGGGCTGGAAGCCCCCTGTGGGGATGTAGGACTCCATCAGGAGGTGTTGGGTGGTGTGGGGCCGTGCTTTGCTTGGAAACAAGAGGAACGGATTGACCTTCCCATCACCGTGGCTGCAGGGCTGGGTGTGCAGATGCTCGTTCTGAGGGATGGGGAAGGGACGGCTGTGGATGGGGGAGGTCAGCGAGGTGTGGATGTGAGATGTGCTCCCAGCGGTGGGGATGCTGTGGGGTGAGAGCTGAAGGTCTGGTGGCCGTCCTCATCCGGGGTCTGAGTTCCTCACAGGAGGTTCGTTGTGCTGCGTCCTTCTCTGGTGTTACGCGCGTCTTGGGGCTGTGCGAGCCGTGCCCCGGCCTTCCTCTCCTCCTGCAGAGCCGACGCGGCAGGGGAGCGTGGGCTGAGCTCTCTGGGTGCCCCTCTGCTCCATCCTTCCCTTTGGGAGCTGCCATTTTGGGCACAGCGTCCATCTGCTTCTCCCGATGCGCCCCGTCGGTGCGGGCAGTGACTCCAACAGTGGGTGATGACCAAGGGCATGGCGGCTGCAGCCACCTCCTGCGGTGGCAGTGTCGCTGTCGCTGTCTCTGGCACATTCCCCACCATGTCCATGGCCAACGTGGGGAGAGTAGAGCTCATCCAGCTCCGATCTGGTGATTTGCCCAGGGAACGTTCCTCCTGAGCCCTGTTTTCAGCTCTGCTCCAGAGCTTTGCCGTAATGCTGGTAATTTCACTTGTCTCCTCTGTGCCTCAGTTTGCCTAATTACAAGGCGTAAAATAATACAAGCGTCCCTCCCAAGGGAGCTGCGAGGTTTTGTTAATGAACATGACAAAGTGCTTTGGGATCCGTGGTTGAAAGCACAGTGAGAAGGCAGCCTTAGTCAGTGCGCGTGTGTGCACGGTGTTTATTTATCTACATGCTTTATATTTCTTTGTGCACTATAGATTCTTGTGCATTTAGCAAACCTTAATTAGAAACAAAGCCGATAGGGAAGGAAATATAAACAGGAGTGTGCATGGAAATTGGAAGTTGATTACTCTATGGCCGGCTGAATGCGTGTCCTGGGCTCGGGAGGAGCGGCTGTTGGGGTAAAAACGTCTCTGCTGAAAGGAAATGTGAAAAGAACGTGAGACATAAATCAATATGGAAAACAGGGAGGTGGATGACAACGTACATAAAGCAGAGGGTAAGAGTTGCATGCAGTTGTTCAGGCTGTTGCAAGGTATCTATCTATCTGTGGCTGGGAAAGTTCGGGCTTATGGAAGGGAAGTTTTTGTGCGTGTGCGTGTGTTTTTTTTCTTTAAGAAAGAAATTCAAGAACAAAGGAGTGCTGGAAGGGTCTGGATCCCACACCACACCATTGGTAACAATGCTGCTATCGCTGACGGCCCTCTTTGTGCTGCTGCTTGCATGTGCTGCTTGCGTGGCACAGCGTGTCTGGAGCAGGGATGCTTCCAAGGTATCTGGGGGGGGGAAGATGAGGATGGGAGCTGCGCGTTTTAAAATCACACGCCAGGAGAAAAAAATGAAGGCACTCTTCACCCCCTCTTTGGAGTTAACTTTTCGTAAACCTTGCAGTGCTGGCAAGTTTCCCGAGGGCTGGAGGAAAGCCAGCTCCGTGCCAAAAAATGTGGAAGGAGAAATGAGATGGCCCTCCTATCTGTGAGAGCACGGGGCTGTGGGCTCCAAAGCATGGGGTGTGGGGCGGGCAGGGGTCCTGTCGCTGCTGCAAGCTGGAGGCAGGAGCTGCTTGTTCGTGCATAGTTGTCATGGAGTGTAATGTATATAAGACACATGATGCACTTATTGAGCTGCGTGCATGTGCTTGAGATGGGGTATGCTGTGTTCTGTTTGTGTGCTACAGCATATTGTAGTGTTCAAGTGCAGTCTCCCCTCTCGTGCCCATGTGGCCGTGGAGTGACCCATTGCAGGGCTCTTCCACCACCTCCTCCAGCCCCAGAGGCGGGGGAGCAGTGCCAATTAGCTCAGCCCTTGATTTATCTGGTGTTGAGACCGGGCAGGAAACAAATATTGTAAAACTGCACTGAGGTGTGGAGTGGAGACCTTGATTTTGGATCTGCGATACCTCTCTGTGTGCTCTGCCTTCCCCCAGGGCTCCATTCCCTGGGTTAATTTTTGACGAGGTGAATGCTGCATCGCTGGGGCAGTTGGGAGTAGACTGATACACTGGTGCCCAGTTCAGATATCCACATATCCACATAGTTGAGGTTGCAGAGACTCTGCTTCTCCCAGTTGCTCCCAATCCCTGCTGTAATTCCAGATAGGTTGATCCAAGCCCAAGGATGGGTGCTAGAGGGAGATGCCTTGGGGACAGAGCTATAAGAAGCCAGCCATGGGGCCATGGCTTGGAGTGGCACAGCTCCAGTGCCACCCGTGTCCTGAGAGCGCTCCGGAGAAGGACTTGGGGTGATGCAGGTACAGCAGTGCCCTGGGGACGTTACCGAGGGGCTATCTGCCACGGCTGGGAGCAGGGGTCTGCTGTGCTGAAGGATCTGCCTGCACTCGTTGTTTGTGTACACATACCTGCAGCAGATGTAAAGGAGGGTGGACACCGGTGTAACTGCAAAACCTGCTGGAGAAGCTGGGTAAATACTGAGTCCTCTGCTTTCTGCTTTTGTGTGAGCACAGCCGCAGCGGTGATAAATGAGTTTGAGTCCACTGCTCCTGCCCTGACATGCACCCACAGCCCAGCCACGCCACGCTGGGCTGAGAGGTGGGTGCTTGTGTGTGAGCCTGGCTGGGAGCAGGCACAAAGCTGCTGTCCTGGGGAAAATCAGATTTTACTGAAAAGACTCGGTGAGCTCTCATCTTGCTGGAACGCAAGGGTGAAACGTGGCTGCCCATTCCCTGCTGTGTGCAACAGGGAGATCCTCGAAGGCAAAAGTTCAGCAGTGAGATAAGGGGGGAAAGATGGGGCCTCCTGTGATAACAGGCTGACGTGTGCAGGACCTGGCACTCGCAGCAGGGATGTGGCTCTTCGGGGCTTGCAGAGATGCATCAATACCAGGATTTTATATTGCTGTCGTGGGTCTGTGCAGGATGGGAGGTGATTTGTGCCAGGGCGCAGACTCTGGAGCTGAACAGCGTGGAGGTGAGGGAGGACACAAGCAACGCACCGTGCTGTCAGCCCCTCTCTGAATTTCAGTGCTCGTGGATGAGGGAGCGGCGTTTGATCTCTGTTCCCCCTCTGACCTGAGTCGTGGCACTGATTGCCAAATGTTAAGGGAGATTAAACAGGCTGTGAGGGCAGAAAACGCTGCTATAATTGCAGATGGTACTTGCCTCCATCGAAACCGAATAAATGTCACAAAGGGGCGTTATTCAGAAATTACAGTTTTAGTGACTGTGAATAATTGCAGCTCTTCAGAGAGCCCACGAGAGGAGGATCTCTTGATGTAGTCCCGGACCGGCTCCATGGGAGCAGCTGTGCTGCAGCTCAGTGCCGTCTCCAGGTGGGAAGGAGGAAGGGCTGGTGAGCTCCAGAAGTTCATGAAGCTTTATTAATTAGGTCTGATAAATTAAGTTCTTTTCACTTCAAGCCTTACCTTATTCAGGGGCGGACGTCTTGTCCACAAAATCACAGCAGACTGGAGGATAACACTGGAGGCAAAAGGATGTTCTTCAGAATGTGGAAGTGATGTCTAAAAGAGGAAAATAGGAAAACCTATAAACTGTGAAGGGGTGGATGTGAGCCCATATATGGCAGAGTAAGAGGAGTTTTAAGAATAACTTGTGGGAAAGCAAACAAACAAACCCCAAACCAACAGAAAAACAGAGTTGGGAAATCAGAGGGGGCGAAGTTAAAAATAGTCAGAAAAGAGCACTTGGGGACAGCTTAATTTTTCCCCTTCAAAACAGCAGAGTCTTGGGATGGGGGGTTTGCAGAGGGACTGCCCCAATGCCCCGATGAAGTGTCGACGGAGGAGGTCACATTTTATAGAGTAAATGGGGAAAA